CACTTCATACCTAGTTGAGACTGGGTATGAAGTAAAAACTATGTTTATAAAATATTCCTATCAACTTAAGTTGGCTGTCCACATAAGACATTTGTGTAACTATAGTATCTGTGGCTTTTCCTCTAAGGGAGATCTCCAAATACAGATGGCATTTTTAGAGTTAATAAACCCCAATATATTGTGTATTCTTATCTGGAATTACAGCTAAAGGTGGCATACGAATTTTACGTCACGGCAGTAGTATCTTGTATCCCGATACAAAGTAATCGATAATTGGAGGGATTTTAAAACCAATTTTCTAATCATTGCACCAACTATGTCTAGATTACAGAATAATGTATTGGCTAGGGCAGAGTAGTGCTAGAGAAATGTGTCAAATCGTACGACTAGACGAGTTTATACTATTAGTAATTTTGTTAAACTTTAAGCCAATCATGTAATTAAATCGACGATACCAGTTTATATAAAAACCAATATTAAGCTCACCCCTACATCCAACTAAAGTTTTTAAATTATCTTTATATGTGGCAATACAGTAGTTGCAAATGTATTTCATAAACAGCAGCTGGTGTGTGAAAATAAATCAGCTGATCTACTAGTCAGCTGTTACAAGAGTCAGCTGTTTGTATAAATAAGTCTGCGAAGATTTCCCAGCAGCTTTTGCCCAAAAGCCAATCTTGGACCCCAGTTTCAATATCTCCCCTGCACCAGCAAATCGTCTGACCACAAAACAATTTATCTTTTCCCATCTAAGATTTTTTCGTGATATTAACATACAATTCTATACATTTATTTATTTTTTACAAAATAGGGGCTGCATAGCTTTTGGTTCCTTTATTTTCAATCAAATTGGTAAATATCCGTATGTTCGTAAATTTAAAATAAAGTTTAATATTAACATTGTGATGTTAAACTATAAATATAGTACCTGATTCATACTTTAACTAGTTTTTTTTTTCAAGAGCTTTTCGTAATAAATATATAGTTTGACACTCAAGTAATATTTTAGAAAGTTAATCAGGATTACGATTTAATTTAAATTTTTAACTATTAGTATATTTATTTTAAGTACATTACTTCTTTTAAATTTTGTTGTGCCATTAAGATTATTTTTAACCAAACAAACCTATTAATTTACTGGATGATAGAATTATTATGCATTAAGTAACTATTCTGAATTCATTTTATCAGTGACTTTTACAACTTTAAACCCCATTATCTTTACCATTTTATTTTGCACAAACCCTTTCACTACAAGGCAAACATAAACTACCAAGATTAGCTTACATTTACCCGGTAATACCTGTGTAATTGGTTTTACGGACCCCTATCTTTTCCCGCTCAAATGCGCTCTAACTTTCCCGGCAAAGTCGCTCGCCTATAACTTGGGAGAGTGTGTAACCCGTTTAAAACGTCTAATACAGTTTAGGCCCGCAACTGTGGGGGACTTAATTGTGTGGAAGAACTTGGGAACGCGGCTCCAACGATTTAAACAGCTGACTGTGAACTTCTTTACAGCTGAGAATGCGATTGATTCATCAGCTGACTGGATCAGCTGTTTCCTCACTCAGTGGAAGTTCTTTGAATTTAGTTTTTTGTTTAGAAAACGTTTGTTCAAATTTACTTATACAAATGATTTGTATATATATCTTATTATCTTATGGAGTAAACTAAAAAATCTCCAACCACAAAACTAAATCCAAATGAAATAGAACTGGCTAAGCCAATACCATTTTCAAGTTGGTACAGCGTAGAAATAAAACACATTTGAGTAATATATTTGTAATTTTGGAAGACGTATTCTACTATATTGGTAGACTTACTATATTAGCAGGCTATACAACTTAATAGTGTTTTCTAAATATTAATCATAATGAAAAAAAAATCAATTTAATAGAAAGAACGCCGGTTATAATTTTAATTTATTTCACCAAATGTATGATACGAATACGTTTTAACCATTTTCCGCATGACTTCTACTTTGCTTTATAACTTGTGTGTTATGAAAGATGGTTCATATTGAAGACTTCTCAGAAAACTTTGCCTGATTAAAACATCGTAAATTTCCCTGTAATTCTGGGTTAGACATTGTTGAGTGCTGTTATGAATATTTGAGATGTATTGATTCAACAGTGTGGTTATATGTAAATCACTGCTCTAAAGTACATTATGTTCAGGAAATTTTGTTTCTAGCTAAACAGTTTATGTGACTTTTCAAACTCGTTCTATTTTTTTTAATATTATTTCGCAAACCCGGGACACAAATTTCCCGTGCTCCTACCATTATACCTTCCTTTTAATTTATGTAAAAGTATTCTAATTATATATCTTATTATTCTTATTATATCTTATTATATAAAATGATACAATATCCCCGCATCAACCCTGCCGACTCAGCGTTACCTAGTTTGAATTTCACTAAAATATTTCGTGAAAATTTTTTGATTTATTTTATGTTTAAATAACATTGATGTTAACGAGTAATTAGGTTTACTGAAACTGGGAAAGTAGTAAAGTGTATTTTTAATTAAAATAGCTTAGTATAAGTTAAACAAATTTATCAAGTTTGATCAAAATATATCACTAAACTAGCAAACTAAAAAAAAATTATCCATCCGGCATAAAAATAACATAAGAATTTTAAATACCACTCTGCAACCGTTAGGCGTACAAGAACACTTAAATATACTACATTATTTGTTTTTTAGCCCTAACAATAGTTTAGAAAGATATAGAAACATTTGACTTTTTTTGGGTCAAAATGGTAAAACCCTGTTTTTACCCCACAAAGCTCCCAAAAAACCTTGTTCCCTTAGACCGATCATCGTTGGCAAACTCGATCGAATAAATGTATATAGGTTTATACTTTGGTACTAAATTTGGGAAAAAACTGAATATTTTTTCTCGAGATATCTTGATACATATACAAGTACATATAAATACATAAAAATTAAAAAGTAAAGCGGTCCCATGGCTAGGTCTTGCCATGATACCTATGGTATTCGCTAAAAGACAGCCCAACTCAACATTGTGTATGGACTTCTTCTATTTACAGCTTGATGAACATGTTTTATGCACCACTCTGGACAAGATTCACTTAAGACAAGTGCATTGTAAGTTCACCCCATAGCCAGGGGTCGTAAACGCTAAACCTCTTTTGAGAAGAACGAGCGCCAATGGAAGTAGGAGGGGTTGATCGTCCAATTTGGGGAAGGAGAGGAAAAGAGGAGAAATGGAAGATCATGTTACTGGACCGAAACGCATGGGAAAAAGTAACGTTATTTATAAACAGTTTTAATAAGTTGTTTTACAATAGTTATGCAATTGAGGGGTAGGTGAGCTAAATCTTAATTAAATATTTATATTATAGTAAATCAATACATTTTTAGACTAATTACAAATTATTTTTTATATAGTCTAGTATTAGTTTCCTTAAAAGTATGGCACCATGTTAATATTATATGTTATTCTACCAAACAGATAGCATTTTGTTATGTAAACTACAAATATTTACGATACGATTTATATAAATTAGGCCTACTATTCTCATGGTTCCTCTTGTTTAGGTCAGACACGTCTGATTGATTCCATCAAACGAATCAGTGTTATTTTGTATTTTTCCACCTGTTAAAAGGAAATAAGTCAAATGATTTATCGTGTATTTTTTTAATTCCCTTTTGAATAATTATAACTGCTCTATGTATTTGTGTTGATGATAAATTTTTACATAATTTGTATACAAATTATTTTTGAATAAACAGGTTATGAAGTAGCCTATATGATGTTATAAATTTACAATATTGGCATTATATATTGCAAGCACACTTTTTAAAAATTCAGTAAAATTTGAAATATATTTTGTTTTTTAATGTTCACTTCGTCTAGAAGGCGTCGATGTCAACTAAAGGGCTTTCTCTTATTTATATGGAAGTTAACGTGTTCTTTTCTTTTGAGATACCGTACACAAACAGGACAAGCAACAGTTAACAATCAATCAATTGTGCATTTGGTTCAAAAGTTTAAAATTATTAAAACTACAGGAATAAAAAAGTCAAGCTCAAGCAGAAATCAACACACACCGAATACAAATGTACCTTAAAATATGATTTTTTTTTCTCTGTAATTCCACGGATAACATACACCAATATCATGAACATAAAGTAGTCAAAAATAAAGTTTTTTGTTCAAGTATTAATTTAGCAGTAGTAAATCACATTTTAACCTACTAATTGGGGGTTTCAGAGGGACAGTTTTACTCCAATAATTTGGTTAAATGAGCCAAAAGGATATTCTTTAAATCACGAATCACGGTTAAAAAAACTATAAAACGTTTTTCTTTAAATCAAAATATTGATATAAAATCAGGTACCATCCCGGGCTCCAACCTTTAAAATCGGGTTCTAGATACAAATCTATGGTGAACATAGCGTATTTACATAATTATTTCTTTAACATCCAAGGGATATTTCCATTTTCAGAAGCTATATGGTGGCTTAGGCTACGTCTCTAAGCTCCAGTTTATTCATCATTGGGTCTTGAAGAATCAGAAACGCACAGTAGTTCAGCATCAGTTTCCTCATAGAAGATTTGTTGTGGCAAGGCCCCCATACTCATACTCAAGTAGATCCAATAGACTCAGCAATTCTATTCTAAAAGAACCATGATCGAACAGTAGTTCAGCATCACTTTCTCCATAGAAAATCGTTGTTGGCTAAGGTTCCATCTCATACTCAAGCAGATCCAATGGACTCAGCAATGGGTCTATAAGAACCATGATCATCGAACAGTAGTTTAAGTATCACTTTCCCCATGTATAAGATTTGTGGTGGCAAGGCCCCATCTCATACTCCAGTAGATCCAACAGACTCAGCATTGGTTCTAACAGAACCAGGAACGCGCAGTAGTTCAGCATCAGTTCCCCCATTCACTGCAGTCTTCTGCTTCGGTTTGGTTTCTCTTCGCTCTACTCCACACTCCTCGTCCTTTCAGTCGTAGCCGGTCCTTGGTCCGATTCACTTGTTTCTCGTGTTGTTCCGCCGTTCCACCTGACGAGTTACGAAACGTAAACTGTGGCCGAGTGTGGTTGTGGATGTGGTGTGGATTAACTGTGGAGTATGTGTGGATTTTGTGGATTCTAAAAGAACACTTGTAAGTTATTATTTAATGATTTATTATAGTTGGTAGTTGTTGACATTGTATTGCTAAGTTTGTTTTTGTTTAGATTTAGGAAGTTTGAAAGTTTGTTTACAGTTATGTTTAGTGAATTCATGGAATGGTATTTCGTAAACGCTGCGAAAGTAAAACTGTTTATAAATCAGTATGATTTCATCGTGGGGATTCGTAATACTAGAGTAAATCTACCATATCTACGAAACAGACGATGTTGACAAATGACTTGGATTTGGTATTAGTGTTGTGTGGTGTGTACACAGTTGACATACATAATAAAGACTGATCCATGAACTTTCGAGTTACTGCATGAGAGTTTTTTTGCTCATTTTAAAATAATTTCCCTCCAATCTAGAATAACAACAGAGGATTTAAGTATTTCAATGAATTATTTATATATAACCAAGGGATTATTTGCACACAAAACTACATTGAAACCTAAAAAATGTGTTGCAAAAGACATTTTTTAATTGTTTATTTGCACATCAAACTATAATAAAATCACACGCATCAAACAAGAACATCGGAAATGCCAAATATTGTACATAATGTTTGGTATTAATAAATGAGGACTGCGATTGTTAAAGTCCTTTCAAACATTTTAATTTACCAAACAGTTTTTATTGAACACTGTAATATATTAAATGTGAGTTTGGGATCAATAAAAAAACTAATATTTAGGTACATTGTGCATTTGTGCCTATACATTTTGAAATGTATCTAGCGTCTTTAATTTATTAGATTGATTAGCATAAGTTTACTGATTAATGTTTGACCGGATTAATAGGCCTATAGTTATTTTTTAATTAGGTAATTAAATACTGTTCATCACACTGTTACTAATACTGCTTCACTATTTAAAATATCAATGTTCCCCGTTTTAATAAAACAATAGGGAAGATAAACTATTAGCTTACGTTTCTCTATGAATCAGAATACTGTTTCTGTAAAATTAAATTATCTTTTCAAAAGTGTTTTGGTGTTAGCTAAAAAAAAATATGTTTTATAAAAGTAAATTTTACTTGTGTGGTGAACTCGATGAAATATTAATTTTTTTCTTTATTGTTTTTGCTCCAAAAGTTCATCACAAGGTGCGAAATTACAACAATTCATTAATATAAATATTTATGGCTTTTACCCAAGGTAACTTATAATTATAGTACTTTTTAGAAAACTAAAGTCTACACGAAGAATCATTATACCAATATCAATCATTGTCCAGGCTGCAGGCTAAACTAAAATTAAGCTTTATTGTATTGTAAATGCTGAAGTCAATTGTTTTGTTTTTAGTTTATTTGAGTGCGTTCAGCAAATATTCTAAATTATTATTTTAAATATATATATATATACGAATTATATGTGTTTTTTTTCATTTTGGAATATTTAGTTAGTTGTGCTTAGCAAATGCACATTTATGATACCAGAAAGTTTCATTTTTCGTGGTCATTGTAATTTAATTCATCATACTATTTATTAGCTTATACAGTGAAATATAAGATGACAAGATAATTACTAGTTAACCGTGAGCTTTTAAGAAGTAGAGTATTGTTTTTTTTTTTTCATAGGCCTACTACATTTTAAACATTTAAGCTGAGATACAAAATATTGAGGTATCTCAATCCATTTTATCCCCAACTTCACGCCCTGGTTCATCAGAATTCCGTCGGACAGAAATAGCTCTTCGACATAACATTCTACATCTCAAACCCCATATTAATGGTCCATGTTCCTCCCCCTCCATTTGTAGGCGCCGATAGAGGGAGATGGTGAAATGGGCGCCACCATAAGATAAAGTGAGAGGGTAAACTGTAATGGAGCATAGCTGTCATCGAAACAACCCCAAAGTGAGAGTAGATTGTGTGAAAATAATAAAATACCTTGTTTTACAGTTGTCAAAAAAGCGTATTTACATTGGTTACAGCACGCAAAATAGTTAATTCCTGTCCACTTTACTTTTCCGCATACGTTATAATTTTCCGCACTGAAGATGTTCAACGTAAAAACCTACTCGTGAAGTAGGCAAGGTGATGTGTGCGTGAAAATAAAATTGGCAATACTGACTGCATACATTTCGATATCAGCTGGTGAACTGTTGTTGCTTACGTTTTGAACCGCGCATGTTTAATTATAATTGTTGTTGAATCGTTAGGTTGTAAAGAATTGTGTGTTTTTTAGATTGAAATTGTGTTATTTGTAAAAATGAGGCTACCAAAAAGGAAATGGCTTAAACAGATAGGAATAATTAGTTCTATATACTCCGCATTGTATAGAATTTTTAATACAATGCCGTAAAGCTTTTTAAAAGACTTCCTCCTTCCCTAAAGACTGAACGTTATTGAAATAAATATTTATTTTATTTATTTATTTAGATAACAATACTACATTACAGGCATAGAGCCCAATTACAATGCAGCATTAATCTTTAAGTCCATTATAGAAAGTCCATGCAGTCTTCTTGGTAGGTACACACAACATCACAATTTACATAATATTTAACTACTAAGACAAGATAACAACCAATAAATAATAATAATAACATTTCATAAAAACAATAAATAGACATATCAATAAATAAAGTAACGAAAACAAAACTCTCAGAGAACGGTTAAAAAAATATTATATAGTTTTCTGTGCAGAAGCAACCAGTTGGGACGTATGCCAACACTAATCCGCAGGCCAGCTCGCCAAGTCCACCCCGCAAGCGCGCACCAAACGCGCCGGCCGACCAATACGGCACAGTGCCGTGTAAAAACACAACACAGTACAATCACTCAGTCAGCCAGCACCCCCAGCACACGCCCGCGGAATAAACTCAAAGAGCAGCCAAACAAATCAATATCAACACACGCCGAAACAGAGTTATACAGTTTTGTCATTACATTTACAGGCGAATTTGCTCCAAGATTTGTTCGAGAGTAGTGAGGGGAGAACAGGAAGCGACAACGAGAATTGTGCCGAGGCACATTAAACTGGACTTTGGACAACAAGGCCCCGCTATCCAGCTTACCGCTCACCAGATTATGCAGGCATACCAACACAGACACTCGCCGCCGCTTATCAAGGGAATCTAGTTCAAACAATGATAACAGCTCAGAATAGGGAACACTAGTAGTATAGTGGCCAAACTCTTTGTAATACAAAAACCTGAGAAATTTTGTCTGAACCTTTTCAATAGTATCAGACAGATAGCGCTGATGAGGGTTCCATACAACTGACCCAAACTCCAACTTTGATCTTACCAACGAGCAATACAGTAACCTTATTACACCAGTATTTCTCAAGAAATTACTCGACCTACGTATGAACCCCAGAATAGAAAAAGCGGATTTACAAATGGAAGTAATATGGTGAATGAAAGAGAGTTTTGAGTCAAAAGTGATTCCCAGATCCTTAATAATTGATTTGACAGAAACAATTCTACCTCTCATTGAATAATTGAAGACTATTTTATTCACTTCAGATTTTCTTGTAAAAGACATTACAAAACATTTATCTACATGAAATTTCAAGTGGTTATCGCTCCACGATAAAAGACGATCTATATCTTCCTGCACTTTCAAACAATCTGACACACAAGTAACTTTACGAAACATTTTCAAATCATCAGCATATAACAAATATTCACAGTTTCGGATGCTATCAGATATGTCGTTTATGAATATTGTGAACAGCAGTGGGCCTAAATTTGAACCCTGAGGTACCCCTGAATATGCACGGAATTCAGAAGATGAAAATCCGCCATAGCAAACATATTGAACTCTATCATGAAGATATGAAGAAAACAATTTAACAAGAGGACTAGAAAGTCCAAAATAATTTAGTTTTGAAAGCAGTGTCAAATGGTTGACCTTGTCAAATGCCTTTTCGAAATCTGTGTAAATTACGTCCACCTGATCTCCAGAATCCATTGCCGACAAACAATATTCAGAAAAATTAATCAAGTTGGACGTGATCGATCTACCAGGAAAGAAACCATGTTGGTGCGGGCTGATGAAACTCTTTACATGAACAAATAACCTTGAATGTATTATGGTCTCGAATACCTTGACAGGTGAGCTAAGAATTGCCACTGGCCGATAATTTTTTATTTCTGACTTCTGACCCTTTTTGAAAATAGGGACAACCTTAGCACGTTTCCAAAATGTAGGAAAGTAAGAGTTGTAAATAGAAAGATTAAAAATATACAACAAAGGAGAGACAAAGTGTTCCGCACATGCTTTGAAAATGTAAGGAGGAATACCATCTGGTCCTACAGAACGTTTTGGCTTTAATTTGCGAAGAGCTGATTGCACCTCAGAGCGAGTGATCCCTACGAGTGTCATGGTCGGGACCCCTGGCAACACCGGGGAGCGGAGCGCACGGCTGCACAACTCCGAGCCGTCCAACTGATAAGGATCATAAACAGAACTAAAATATTTAGCAAAGCTTTCCGCGATCTGCTCTCCCCCCTCCACCTCCTCACCATCTATACACATTGCAGCTGGTAAGTTAGATACATTTTTCAACTTATTAATTTCACTCCAAAATACCTTAGGATCAAAATTACATCTATTTTCAATACCATCAATATGATTTCTATAAGCAATTTTTATATCATTCTTGATAGTTTTACGTAGTTCCTTGTACTCATTATAAAACTGTGGGATCTTATATTTATTATATTTTCGCAACAATTTCTCTTTCCTCTTTACTAAGGCAATTAAATCTTTACTAAACCATGGAGGAAATTTAGACTTAAACTTTTTTACCACAGGAACACATAAATCAATTACATTATTGATTTCTTTATAAAATAATTCCACAGCACTATCTACATTTTTCTCACTATAAAGCTGTAACCAAGATATATTTTTAAAGCCATTATACATTGAAAGAAAATCAGATCGTTTATAATTACGGAACCAACTATATGAATTAAAACCACACTTAGATGAATTGAATATTTTAAAAGTAACATGTAAAGGTGGGTGATGCTTATC